CCACCCCCCCACGCACACACCAGAGAGGGTGTGTGCAAGTGTGTCTATAACTCTAAGTCAAATCTAGGTTCTAATTTGAGATTTGTCCGAGTTTGGCTTAATTTGCTTAACATGGGATGTTTAATTCCATCCATTTTCCTGCACAGGCCGTTATTTCATTTCTCTTTACAGCTGAATAAAATTTTGTTGTATTTATGTATTATTTTATTTATCCATTCATCTAAGCTAGCTCCATATCCTAGATAGTGTGAATGATGCAGCAATAAACAAAGGATTGTGGAATGCTGAGTCCTTTGGGTATAGACTCAATGCTATCTATGGCCCATGTGGTCGATGTATTTATTTATTTATTTATTTATTTATTTATTTATTTGAGAAAATCTCTGTATTGATTTCCATAGTGGCTACACCAATTTACACCCCCAATAGGATTTTTCTTTCTCTGTGTTCCTGCCGACAATCGTTTTCTCGATGCTAGCCATTCCGACTAGGGTGAAACAGAATCTCAAAACAGGTTTCTCTTAAAGGTTTATTTTATTTTTAGTTATGTGTATAAACATGTGTCTGTGTGTGGGTCTGTGCAGAGGCTAAAGGTACTGGACTCTACCCCTGGAACTGGAGTTATAGGAGCTGTGAGCTGCTGACATGGGTGCTGGGAACTGAACTCCAGGCCTTTCGACTAACAGTATTATCACACATAGCTCTCAATCACTGAGCAACCTCTAGCTTCCCAAAACAGTTTTAACTTGAATTTCTCTGATGGTTAAGGATGTTGAACATTTTCCAAACATTTGCTGGCCATCTGTGTGCTTTCTTTTGAGAACTGTCTATTCAGTTCAGTAGCCCATTGCTGTGGAAAAAAATCTGGTGTCTACTTTTTTAGTCTTTTATATCTTTAAGATATTAACCCCTGATACAATTGGCAAAGGTCTTTCCCTATTCTGTAAGCTTCCACTTCACTCTGGTGATTATTTCATTCATTGTGCAGAAGCTTATTAATTTCATGTGATGTCATTTGTCAATTATTTGAGTTATTTCCTGTGCCACTGGAAAATGAACTGAAGTTCTTTTTAAAAAGTTCTTATGTGTGCCTATATCTTAAAGTGTTTTCCCCTAGAAGTTTCAAAGCTTTAGACCACATATATGCCTTTTTTTCTTTTCTTTTTTAATGTGTATGAGAGTTTTACTGGTCTGTGCACTTTTGGCATGCCTGGTACCTGCAGAGACCAGAAGAGAGCATCAGATTCCCTACAACTACAGTTACAGACAGTTGTGAACCACCACATGGGTGCTGGGAATCAAACCTGGGTCTTCTCCAAAAGCAGCAAGTGCTCTTAACCATGGAGCCATCTTTCCAGTCCCCAAGCCTTATATCTTTGATTCATTGTGAATATTTGTTCAAGATATAGGAGTTTAGTTTCATTCTTCTACATGTGGAAGTAATTTTCCCAGGATCATTTGTTGAAGATGCTGTCTTCTTTTTTCTAGTGTAGGTGACTGTATCTGTGTGGGTTTATTTCTGGGTTCACTATTCTATTTCACTGGTCTACATATCTCTTTTGTGCCAGTATGTGGGAAGGTTTGTTTAACTATTAAGAGTGTTATGAAAAGAAGGGTGTGTCTCACATAGATGCAATCTAGAATACGTTTTCCTTTTAAATTAAATTCATTATGTCCACTCCCAGGGAAATGTTTCTTAGTGATGGTCTTTTGTGGCCAGTAGCACTGGAAAAACAGATGACCTCTGGTTTAGGATGAGATTATGTACCAGTAAAGCCAGTGTAATTGAAAATATAAGCAAAGGGGCCAGAGCGATAGTTCAATAGTTAAGAACACTGGTTGCTCTTGCAGAGGACCCAGGTTCAATTTCTAACACTATTCATAACTCCAGTTCCAGGGAATCCAACACCCTTCTCAAACTGCCTTGGGATCCAACACCCTTCTCTAACTTTCTTGGGTACCAGATACACATATGGTGTATAGACATGTGTGTAGGCCAAATACTCATACACATAAAAATAAAATAAATGTATCTTTATTTATAAAAAGAAAATGCATAACAAAGGCATTGACTATACCCAATCTATTGAGCATCAAAGTTTAGCAACATCCGGCATCATAGGTACCAGTTGTTTTCCCACATGATTTTAGGACCAATAGGTACCTTTGTTTTGCATATAATGCCCAACATTGAAAGAGGATTGTGCCCTGGGAACAGATCAAATTCAAAAGTCCAGCTATTGTTTCACTTTGTCATCACTGGAAGCCAAGCCATTGCAAACATGACTGTGTCTATAGAAAAAAGAGAGGCCATTTTCCTTTCCTCTTATCTTCCCTATAGGAAAAAAAATAATGTGTGAAAGGATAGAGCCCTGCCTCCTTCTGTTCTTGAGCTAGCTAGAATACTGCTCAACAGACAAGCCCTCTCTGCACACACCCTTCCACAAAGCTCTATAGCTTCTCCAAGTTGGAAAAGGCAGTGGGGCTACTTTTTTTTTTCTTTTTTTCTTTTTGTCTGAACAACAAGATGTGGAAAGGACAAACAAAAGCAAAAAATCATGTTGCCTATGGATGGTTTTGCCATTTACCGGTTCCATATCATTCACCACCTCATTTTCTATAATTTGAGCATCAGAACACACAGGCTACCACTCACTCTAAGCATCTCCAATGCTGTGAAAGCACTTTGCTAAGCTAAAGGCCATGGACTGAAGTCAGGGATTATTTTTCAGTGCTCATCACTTGAACTTTTATTAGCAACTGTCATGCCTTGTGGTCCCTCTGCGTGACAATTGCCATGCCTGTTTGTTCTGAAACCTAAATTGATTTTCTGATTGTTATCTATTTAATGAGTTTCTAACACTTCTACTTTCTGAGTCCTTCTCCCTCCTAAATATTTGTGTAGAATAATTTTCCCAGCAGAGAAATGGCAACCTGACTTCCTTGGATAGCCCACTTGTTGGGAGTGGTGAATGTTACTTGGTTTCTGGGGTGGGGTTGGGGGGGGTACAGATCTATTTCCCTTTTCTCCTTAAGCTGAAGTCATACCTAAGTCATGGACTCCTATAAGTGAACAAGGTGACTACATTTCCAAGCCCAGTGGCAGTAAGAAGTCCCAGCACCACTCCTTGCAACACATCTTCCCAGAGTTAAGTAGACTGATAGATGGTGATGACTACATGGCATGTTTGCAGCCCTTGGAATTTATGACTTGTTTTATTAGCTCTTCTTTAGAACCTCCCATAAGGATGGCCAGTAACACTGTGATGAAATTAAGGTCTCAGTGACAACATGAGTGTGACAACTCATTGCTTCCATGGATGAGGTTGGGTGGTTTTTAACATTAATAATGAAGAGACTATGACTACTCCAGGTACCAAGTCAATGGAAGTGACTAGTGTCGATGATCTTTGAAGACTTCTTCATTAAGCAAATAATTTCCCGAGGTACTTTTTCCTCTGACTGCTGCACATTTCGTCCCAGATATCTTAATCTTCTCAAAAGGTAAGACAGGAAGTCTGAGACCTCGAGAATGGAAGAGTCTTGCTCTAAGTCACTAAGTGAGTTGACTGCAAGACCTAGACCACAGCCCTTGGCACAAAGGAGGTGCTCGATAAATAGTGAATGAATTCAAACATACATTTCTCTCCTTATCATGCTCTACAAGATACAATATTCCTAACATGGACTCTCCTCTTCTGAGTTGAAGTGGCATCCTTGTCCACTGTGATAGATGCAAACCGTATGTGGTTACAAAGCATTCACAATGTGGTTGGTCCATACTGACATGAGTTGTAAATCAATCTCAATATATTTTTAATAGGTTCCCTTGATGAGGACCAGGCTGTACTCAGAATTGTAATCCTTCTGTCCCAGTATGTTTGATTTGCTAGGACTAGCCTTTAATCTGAAAATTGAACACTTGCTATGACAAAATGGAAAGTATCTCAATAATCTTCATAATGATCGCACAGTAAAATGACAATAGTTTTTGTATACTGGATTAAATAAAAATATAACATCATGAAAATTAATTGCTGTTTCTTCACTTTTTCAAGAGGTAAAAGCACTTACAGTGAAAGCATGAGGATGTGTTCAACCCCTGGAACCTTTGTAAAAGAACAAGATGTGCTAGCACCGGTCTGAAATAAGAACCAGAAGTGCTAGCACCTGTCTGTAATAGCAGGACTTGTAAGGGAAGAGCTGAAGCAGGGATGGAGAATCTCCTGGCAGCTCCAAGGCCAGTCTGACTGGAATACACAGTGCAGCAGAAAAGAGACTGTGTTTCTACAGAGATGAAGGATAAAACAGACTCACAAAGAGTCTCCTGACCTCTACACCCACACTGTGGCATTTACATAGCTGTACATTCACACACATGGAGAAACATGCATGTGTGCACATGTATGCCCATGGATTTGGAGAGTCAATATTTTGAAAATGCCATAAAACCAAGCAAAATCTGTAGATTTCAAGGAAATCAAAATTATAATAATATTTTCCCCAAGAATAGAAACAATTTTAAGATACATACGGTAACACAAGAGGCCCCAGATCACCAAATCAGTTCTAAGTAATAAAAATAATTCTGGATGTATCACCATATATGATTTAAAAGTATACTACAGAGTCCAATAAAAACAACATATCAGCATATAAACAGGTATATGGATTATTGGAGTAGACTAGAGGACACACGAATGAAGTCACACCTTTAGCTGAAGAGCTGTTAGTAGTTGATAGCTCCTGGGGCAGGGACACTCAATTTTCTTTAAGGGCGTGACCCTTGGTAGGCCCACGATGTTTCAGAGCAGCAAATTAGATTTGATGAGTTAAAAAAATAATAGGACATAAAGTTGGGCGAATGAGTCTTGAAGGAGTTTGTGGAGGGAGGGTAAATATGACAGGACAAGGCCAGGCCCCATTTTGTGCAAGTCTTGTGTAGGTAACTACATCTGCTGTGAGGACAATGGTCATGCCATACCAAAATACATTGTGTGTGGAAAATAGAGGCCTAAATATAGAATGCTGCTGAAGGGCTTCCCTGCTCAAAAACAACTGCCTGGTCACACAGAGGCCACCCAAGCTTTAGTGATGGGTCATGCTACGTCTTGAGTTGGCAGCAGAACTTGGCAGTGTTGTCCACCTAAGTTTTCCAAGAATAAAAGATACAACAGAGTCTCCATCAAGGGCCCCACAGCTGCCACACTCAACAAATTAAAACTACTTTGAGATTTTATCTCCGCCCCCATCAGAATGGCTAAGATTAATAAAACAAATGACAGTAGATTCTGGAGAGGATGCAGAGAAAATGGAATAATATTTGTTGCTGGTGGGAGTGCAAACTGTAGAGCCCCTAGGGAAATCAGTATGGCTGTATCTCAAAAAAAAATAAAAAGTGGATCTACCACAAGAACCAGTTATACCATATCTTACTACAACAGATAATCATTTATCTATGTTCATTGCTACCCACTCACAATAGACAGAAATTGGAAACAACCTAGATGTTCATCAGCTGATGAACAGATTAGGAAAATGTAGTATATCAACACAATGAACTATTTATTATTCATCTGTAAAGAAAAATAAAACTGAAATTTTCAAGTGAATGGATGGATCTAGACACAGTCATCCTGAGTGAGGTAATCCAGAACCAGAAAGACAAATATTGCCAACTTTCTCTTAGATGTGGATGATTGCTTTTAAGCCTTAGAAAATATTTATTTCATTTACTATATCCACAGAGGTTAAGTAGATCTCAGTAGACCACAGGGGAGGGGGGGATAGTCCAAGGAAGGAGAAATAGAATATAGTGTTACAAAGGAATAAAGGGAAAACTGGAATAGAAAGATTAAATGGCGAGGAGGGTGAGAGGGCAAAGCAAAGGAGAGAACACCAAAGGCCATTTGAAAACACATATGGAAACCCATTACTCTAAATTTTATATGGAATTTCCATGATGTTACCAATATACTGTGGAAGGTAAAGGCCCAAGTAGACATCATATGCCACCAAGTAAAACCTTCAGTGCCGGCCATGGGTTATATCTTGTTCAGTCTTTAGACAAAAGAATCCAGAGGTGTCCCCAGACATCACAAACTATTGCTAAGGCTATTACTTACCCTTCACCACCTTACAGTAAGACCCTATTGCTGAAGACATGACTTACTTACGTCATCAAACACAGAGGAGTCTAGCTGGGGCTCAACTAAAAGCTTCCCCTCTACTGAGTAGCATTCATAGTACTAAGACTGCTATACATGCCAACTGAGGAGAAAAGTTATAATCAATCTTATCAGCTATGAGCCATGATTAATAGTGACCTGTCTGCAAGATATTCTGGTATAATAGTGGCACAAACGTTATGGGAATAACCAACCTTTTTTTTTAATTGGATTTAAGGTCTACTTCATAAGATGGAACCCATACCTGACACTGTTAATGAGACCAAGAATCTGAGACTAGATAGGCCATGGGCCTAGAGGAAAACCTAGTGCTATTATTTTTAATGAATATAGCAATAAAAAGACTCTTAATGACATTAACATACCCATAGATCCATGCATCACTCAATTGTCATCAAAGATGCTTCTTTGATAGAATTTAACAGAGACCCATAATTGGACAATATGAGGACTGTGGAGAAGTTGGCGTTAAATGGGATAATTTGCCAACTCCCTCCCCTTAAGGCTCAGGAATCTATGTAAAAAAGGAGTCAGTAAGATCATAAGAGCCAGAGGTGTTAGATGATTCCAATAAAATAGTGTTTTCCAGACACAATGGGGATGATACACATACAAAAACAGAGACTGTGACAGTATGCACAACATTTGCACAAACTCAAGCCAAACAAAATCCCAGCATGGAGAAGGGGAGATAGGCCTGTGCTGGTTAGATTTATGTCAATTTGACACAAACTACAGCTATCTGAGAAGAAGAAACCTTGACTGAGAAACTGCCTCCATAATATTGAGCTGTAGGCCAGCCTGTAGAGTATTTTCTTAATCAGTGATTGATGGGGAGGGCCCAGCTCATTGTGGATGGTGCCATGCTTGGGCTGGTGGTCATGGGTTTTAAAAGAAAGCATGTGGAGCAAGTCAGTAAGCAGCCCCCCTCCATGGCCTCTGCATCAACCATAGCCTTCAGGTTCCTGCCCTGGCTTCATTCAGTGATGGATCACAATGTGGAAGCATAAGCCCAAAAATACTTCCCTCCCCAACTTGCTTTTTGGTTATGGTGTTTCGTCTCAACAATAGAAACCCTGACAAAGGTGGCCTAAAGTCCCTTAACCAAGGAGGTATTTGTAATTGATACCTACCAGGAGAGTGCCACTTTTCTCAATGGTCTGATATTGGATATATCAACCACACCCCGAAGCAGGCCTCATGCTCAGGAATAGTTGACCAACACCAAATAGATTCCACATTTTTTTGTGAGCTTTGTTGTTGTTTTAGTTTGGTGTTTTTGTATTTTTGGTTTTGTTTATGGAGTTGAGAGGGAGAAGAAACCTGAAGTTGGGAGGTAGGGCAGGATTTGGGAGGACTCAGGGGAGAGAAAAATATAAATAAATAATCAAATAGTAATTTTAAAAAAAGAATAAAAAACACAATATTGAGGGGTCATGAATTATGGCACCAAGGTTCCAGAGAGTTTCTACAGCCAGGTAATTCGGGGCAGTTAAAACCCTTTCAGTGAGGCCCTAGGGGCCATTGCATGGACTGGGGAAGGTGAAGCTACAGATTCAAGAGACCCCAGGATGTTGAAGATACCAGGACCATGGGATGTCTATCAACGAAAACTGCATGCACAAAGAGGAGGAGATGGCGAAAGAGGCCCTTCTGAAGGCAGCAGATCTGGAGATGAGAGGCTTTCCAAGCCCCTTAGAGCCTGGAAAGTTCACTATGTCCCAGGCATGGAACATGGAATTGAAGAATTTGGCATTTGCTCTGCTAGATGTTGGTTGTGTGTCACTTGGCCTCCTTTGCCTACACTCTATCCTTGTGGAATGGGTATGTTTATACCATCATATGTTGAAAGTGTGTAACTTGTCTTTTGATTTTGTGGGGACTCACAGTTTTGAGAAACTTGGGTCTCAGAAGAGACTGTTTTCTTTTTCAAGACGATGGGTGACACCCAGGCAATCCTGCCTTAGTTTCCAGGGAATAATCCAAGGAGATCCGAAAAACAATAGGCTATCAGAAGAGGATAAACAGTCTAAAACGTGTGTGTGTGTGTGTGTGTGTGTGTGTGTGTGTGTGTGTGTGTGTGAGAGAGAGAGAGAGAGAGAGTGTTGGGGGGATGAGCCCTACCAGGACAGCAGCAGAATGAGCAGAGGGAGATGTTAATAAAAACCCCCTCTTCTTGCTGCTGGGTGCTCAGCACTGGACAAATGGCAGAGCAGAAGCAAGTTACCACTTCAGAAAGATCTCAGCTGTGTCAATGGCTTTGCAGCTGAAGATCCTCTGTGAACACATTCTCAGGATTGACTCCCTTAGGTAAAATCTCTCATCTTCCACCCCTCCCCTCATTTGCTCCTACCTTTACCCATCCTATCTACATTCTTCTACTTCCTATCAATCCAAGACAAATCACTCATCTTCCTCTGCCTTTTTCTTCCTTTCTTTCCTTTCCACTCATATTCATAATAATAAATGTATTAGCATTCAAAGTACTGTTAATGTCCCTTTACTCCCTAAAATGGTTGATACTCAAGTGTTTTTTTTTAACTTGAATACTATGCAATTTTCATAGAAGGACTACTGACTGAATAGTGACTGTTGCAGCACTATCCTCAGGAGAGTTGTGGGGAGTGGGCCTGGTGCTGGGAACAGCTGTCCAACAGGCCAGAAACACCTGAAACCTGTTATTGACTAGCACCTCTTCAACTTTGCAGACATTCCTGTTGGAAAAACAAAAGGTGACTTAAATAAAAATTTCAACCAATAACTATACTTGTGCAAATTCCATCACAAAACAAGTAACATGAAAAACAAAACCAACATATATACTTCAAAGTTGACCATCCCCAGAG